CTAGAACAGAGACCCTTATTCAGGAAGGAGAGCTTTCCCATTGATTCTTGGAGACGCCCCTTGAGGCTCTTTTGACGCCCATCTTTAGAAAGTAATGACATTTATGCGGTCAAGAGCGATGCCCTTGGCGCTGAGTGGCGCCTCACTATTTATCAATGCGCCCCTCCAGTCTTGAAATCGCTCCTCTGGGAAATCCCTTGTTATTTTTGCGGTAAAACGGCACACTTAGCTAGTTGGAGAGCCTCATCGACCAATAAAAGCGCCTCTCGAGCCAATCTTGACAATACTAGGTAACCCCTTTGACTAGCCCTCATGGCCCTCATGATTCTATATTTATGTTTCATTTGCCACGATCTTGGCCTTTAGATGAAGCTTTTGCCCCGCCCCCAAATCTTCTCGTCCTCAGTTTCAAAGGACAATTATGAAATCGGATATCGTAAAAGCTGACAACTTACATCAAGCGAAAGTGAAATTATCTTCCGGGATAGTAGTGAGTCTGTGTCATGATAGCTTCCGGCTTCCGGTACCAACGCTACTCGTTCAAAGCAGGAGTAATTTGTAACAATTCGTGATAACTTGATATCACCTGGTGAACCACAGACTTCTGTATGTCTCGGTATAGAGGTATATGGGTGACCTAAACTTGAATGCTCTCAGCCTAGGATTAACCCGCGCCGGGCCGGTGCTCCGCGACTTCCGCGCCCCGGGCCGGGGGGGGGGGAGGGGGTCTGAACACCCCCCATCTAACTCGGCTCCTGGGCCACGTAGCGACACGCAGTAAGCGGCATTCGAAAGAGCGTCAAAAATAATGACGGAAACACTTGAGTCATTTTTTGGGTCAGGTCAAAGGTCAGGTCGCCAGAGGTCATCAAAGGTCAAATGTAGTCCATTTCAACAATTTTGGAAACTGCCAACGGCTAACTCGGGAACCAATAGAGCTACAGCGCCGCGGGAAAAACGCATTCAATAGCCCTTTAACAGACCTTTCTGAGAATTGTTCTCAGATTTGACCTCAGGTCAACGGTTTATAGCCTCCAGAGGAAAAAAACTGTAAAAATAGCAGTTTTCACGAAAACTATTTTTTCGGCAATAACTTTTGACTCAAGAGTGCCACGACATTACTTTTGGCAGCATCGTGTTCCTCTCGTCGAGACGCGTCGAATGAACTATTTGTGGACCTTGAAAGGTCATTTGGAAAATTTGACCTCAGGTCAAGGTCATAACCTGACCAAAAAGGGTCATGCTGCATATCAGTCGATCCGTATCGTCGAGCTGAATACATCTGACATGGTTTCATCGCTCTAGCACGTCTTCATCAAAAGTTATAGCAGAAAACTGGTGGTGACCGTTCATGACCTGAGATGACCTCAGAGGCACACAGAGGGGTCACAGGTGCATTTTTCTGATTCAGTGTGTCATGTTTACCTATGAACCGATGTTTGAGAGGGTTCTGAATACCATTCGTCCAAAATAGGCGCATCTCAATTTTCTCGCATTGACTTATAATGGAGAGGTCGCAAAATTGACCTGACCTTAGGTCACCGATATCAAAATTCCGAGGTAAACATTTTGTACATACTGTTACTCTTATCAATCGCTGAAAGTTTCAAGGCGATCGTTCAGTCGGTGTAGCTATGACGAGGATTGCAACTTTTTTTCTGAGGTGAGGTCACTTGACGTGACCTGGTGACCTGACCTTGAAAGCCCTGCCTCTGAAATTTGCACAACATGTGTAGAAAAGATGCATAAGGTGTGCCAAAAACGGCGGCGCTCAGGGCCGAACACGTGCGGAAAAGATGCAGCATGAAGTGTGATCTTAACTTAAAAGGGGAGGCGTAAAAAGTCCCTTGCTTCTGCGTGGGGTTTCTTTCATCTCGCTTTTTCATCAGTTGTTTTTTCTTTTCTTTTCGTCATTTCATCAGTTCGTCTCGTTTCTTTAGAAGAACTACCATATGCGTTGTGTAATAAGGCGTCACTTCCCTGGTCCCCAGACCCCAATTCCACAACCCGCCCCCGGTCTCTGGTTCTCAAATTGCTTTCAAAATGTACTTGATTTCAAAATAATTCCGCGCCTTTGGCTCGCTATTTCAGAAAAAAAGCTGCAACACAACGTGCCAAAACACGACGGCACAAAAAACAACGTGCTATGGTAAAAATGTTGCCGTAAACTGAAATGAGACTTATTTCTCGGCAGTCACGGGGAGGCGCCCCCATGTCCTTAAGAAGGCGCCCCTGACAGCGTTGCCCCCCAACGAAAACCAAAAAGTTACGCCCCTGCTTTTGATGACCATATATGGGCATAAATGCAGCCCCCGCTACTAAGGGTGAAAAACGGTATAACAAACCGGTACTTGTGGTATCGTGCCCACTTATCGGAGAGAAAAGGCTTCCATTTTCCACTAGGAATTAGCGTGATTTGATTAAATTCGGCGAATTGACTCAAAAATGGCGATAGGAAAGCGGCTTTTCTGCAGGTTCTGGGCGTCACAATCAGCTGGCCATTCAATAAATGTACCTATTAGTGTTTTGAAAGAAAATTGTTTAAAGATTTAATATAATTACAATAAACAGAGATATTAAATTTTGAAACAATAACTTAACCACAATTCGAAAAACCATTAGCAAAATAATAGATATAATGACATTTTTAAACCAGGGTATCGCTTACATTTTTTGGCGCGTCTGTTTCAATCCTCCATATTTTCCAATCACTGTTTGACCTCGTGTTGTAACTCTGCGATTTAGAGCCGCCAGTTAATTGTGCACCGAGTGAGTGAAGGCTTTGTGTGGTTAAAAAACATTCTTATGCCTTATTTTTTTCATTTGAATGCTAGGATCAGTGGCGTATCTAGGATTTCTCTCAGGGGGGGGGGGGGGGGTCCGCAGTCAAAAGGGCCCTTGACTGACTGTGTTGAAAGGGCCCTTAAGTGGCAAAAGGGCCCTTGTAGCCTGAGTTGAAAGGGCGTTAACCCGCGCCCAGTAGGGGGGGGGGGGGGCGAAACGGCCCCCTGTCCTCTTCCGTAGCTATCTCCTATTTGACTGCAGATATCGCCACCAAACTTTCAGGACCTCTCCGGGCATCCATTTTACACATTGTGACCATTTTTTTCCAGAGGCTATGATAGGCTGGCCGCAAGTACGTCAGAATGACGTCATGTTCTGCCATTTTCGACCCAAAAAAGGTTTCGCAGGAAGAGCTGTCAGGCCTACGGAGCTGTAGAAACATAAAAATGTTCCGACATAAAAGGTGTAGAATTAACAGGCCTAGGTTAAATCTGAGCACAGTTTACAGAAAGAGCGTTAAAAGAGCTTTGTTCAGGGGCGGAGCTTCCTATACAGTTGGTGGGGCGGCTGCCCCACCAACTTGGTATTTTGCCCCACCAATAAGCGTATTGCCCCACCAACTTTAGCTGATTTCTAAGACTTTTTTGCTTTGCAAATTAATCTTTTTCGCATTGGAATGTCTGTTTAATGCAAAACGATATGACTGTAATGATAGGAATTGATTCAGTGTGGCATTTTATTCAACTTTATAATCGGACATTGTGTGTTTGACGACTTTTTGCCGCACCAACTTCCCTGGAAAAGCTCCGCCTATGGCTTTGTTTGTTTTGTTGGGTTGGGCCCAGGCCCTTTCGGCTTTCGGTCTGACGAGACCATTTCAGGGCCGGAAGGATGATATGAATTGAGGGAGACATTGGTCTGGCGGGCACCTTGGTGAGTCACCGGGGCTGAGCCTGTCCAACAGGATAGGCCGACCAGCCCCCCAAGTGCTCACGGCACCCGGTTACGAGTGTGCTTCCTTAGGAGCTGCAGTGCGCTCCAATGGGAGCCGCCCGCATGGAATAAAGTTGCCCGTCCAGGTCCAGCCCGGATCATCATCATCATCATCATCACGTTTATTAAGAAACAAAAGAATACACAAAATCAAGATAAGTAAGAACTGGTGCAAAAGCACTCGAAAGTGCTTAATTCGAGGCACCAGCTCTGTTAAAAAACATACAAGCAAATAAACACATACACACATATACAAGAACTTAAAATGGATTCAAACAAACTAAATCGCCGGTCACCGCCACCAAGCCGAACGCGTCGCGCATTAGAGGTTGTCCAGAGAGCCCCGTTGCCGACGCCACCCCACCGAGACACGCCCATCCCGCCTCGTAATTAAATAGTCAGAGTGTTGGGATTGTAAAGCGCCCAGAATTAAGTAAGAATGTTTGGAAGTGTTGAGCCACCGCCCGGCCGTCGCCACTATTTAGGTTGGTGCCATGAAGAAGGATTTCCAATTTTTTATTAGTTTGGTATTCATGAAAGTTAGTATGGAGTGTTTGCGATACTTTTTGGTAAAGGATGCGTCTTTGAGGTAAAAACAATGGACATGCTGTGATGAAATGACGAACGCTTTCTATGCTGTGACCACAAGGGCATGCCGGAGAATCTTGTTTTATTTGATAGTGGCTTTGCAAGACTGGAAGCACACTCCTTTAGCACAATTGAGTGTACTCCATCTGGGCCAGGTGCTGATGGCGTCTTTTGCTTTTGTAGCAACGATCTTACCTCCCCTGGGTCAAAGATACACTGCTCCAGCTTGTGTTCCACAACTGTCTCTAGCGTTGGTGGTTCTGTCCCCTCTGATTTCCTGAACACTTGCTGAAATTGACGATTCATTACTTCACAGGTTTCATTCATGCTTTTTTCATTTCCCCACTTTCCTTCTTCACAGCCAGCACTTCTTCCTTATTTGTCATCTTGCTCCTGGCATAATAAGCATAGAATGCCTTCGGATCTGACTTGAGCTCTGATGCAAGCTTGTGCTCAAATTCATGTTTTGCTTTTCTGACAGCCTTTGTAGCTTCATTTCGTGCTTCGATGTATTTCTGTTTAAGTCTCTTTGGTTTTCTGTTCTTCCTGTGCTTAGCCCAGGCTTCTCCTTTGCGCCTCACTTGGTCAAGTACAAGTTTATTGACCCATTTCTTGTGTTTTCTTCCTGCCACCAGCAGCTCCAGCCGGAGCCACTTATCTGCCCAACGCGCTCCTCAACCGCCATGAAGGTGAAGCAGAGGCGCGCCGAACAGGAGCCGGCACTGGCCGGCACGCTCTCACTGGACTCCGTGCGCGTGGCGGCCGAGAGTGTTGGCATCTGCGGGCTGCCCGACGACGCGATCCGTGAGCTGGCGGAAGACACCACCTACCGGCTGCGCCAGGTCGTACAGGTACGTGCCGCAGCCGTAACTGCAGCGGGCAGCCCGCAATGCGTATTTGGAATTTCCGACCTCGACGAGCGTCTGTGGTAGAAAACCACCACTTTGGTAGGGGAAACTACTGCTGTCTGCTACCGTTTGCACTGCATGTCTCGCTGTAGTTGCGACCGATTGCGACATCTATGCAAGTCAGCAAGGGTACGTACCTTAGCGATATACGTACTTTATAATTTACGTACTTTTTCGATGCGTATTTTCTTCTTTGACGTACTTTTGTCTAGGTATACGTACTTTGTACTGTACGTACCTACCTCTGCGATACGCCTACTTCTGTCCTTGACGTACTTATGCCATACGTACTTTATACTCGACGTACTTTTGCGATACGTACTTTTGCCCTTGACGTACTCTTGTCCATACGTACTTTATGCTGTACGCACTTTTACGATATGTGCTTTTGTCCTTGACGTACTTTTGTCCATGCGTACTTAATAATGCACCTATACGTACTTCTTTGTAGCCGCCACCTCCAATCGCCTCCCCAGCGGGATCAATAAGACGCAGCTGTCGTTCACTGGGTAGCTTTATTCCAGATTTGTGACCCCAAGTGGCCACATCTCCATGGTAAATCCCGTTACTGTGGAAGCAGTAACAAACAAATTAGCCACTGGTTATCTCCGAGACAAAGATCACCTCGTCACAAGTATGCAATGAACATATTCGACTAATAAGTGAATAAATTTGGCACAACACTTAGCCACAGCACAGCCCTTGCACAGCGTCGCACCAACGAGTTACATTTACCAAGTCAATCTGAACCGGTTCCAGTTTACGAAACGAAGCATAAACCAAATTCACGCATACAAATGTTCGCCACGACATGCTATATCCTGATACATACCGACCGTTGGCTGCGTCGACCCCACAAACTTGACCACCCCAAAGGTGGGAGACTATAACGGCGCCCAACAAGATCAAGCGCACGTCCAGCCGCTCCAAATTAGCGACCGCAATGGTTAGGCCTTATTTGACACCAAATCAGTCAAACTCAGACTAAGCTGCTCCAACTTCACAGCGAAATCTAGGCCACCGAAAACCACAGCGAACAGCATGCGCCTCTGCGCCACTCGAACCGAGGAATGAACCAAACATGGCGGCGCAGCACCATCATCACTTTAATATTCAGGAACGAGAACGCCAACAAATACGCAATTTATGTAAAACACAACATCACTCAAAATATCATACGCAAAATACTGTGATAAATACACGGCCAATCTCTTTCACACATGGGCCTTTAACCAATAATTACTACAAACTCACCACTAGAGATGACAGAATACGAGCCTTCCAGCAGTAAAGCTGCAAACTTTCACCGCGGACATGACCGGAGCGACGCAGCGCCCAGCTGACTGTTACTAAGGAGGATCCACTGATGACGTTCTACTTCCATTCAATTCCAACTCAACTCCCGGAAACACCAACTGAACGAACCACCCAGCGAACAAAAAAAAAAAAAAAAAACATTAATTCCCGGCGGCGCCTACACTCCCCCTTGGCCACCCCGTGGACAACTAGTACAGCGCCGCTCACAACCGCCATGGCAGATCACTACTTGATCAAAGATCAGGGAGGTGTCAGGTCTTTACTTACGCTAACTGGCATTTACACTTAATACTTACTCTAAAGCTACTCTACGTTGCAGCACTCATGTAACTGTACGTTGAATGCACGCATCTACAATCTAGGGGAGAGCACTGTCAGATAACAGAACTATCAGTTTATGTACTGGCCTCGTTAGTACCGTGCCCCCCGTCCTGAGCCGGACCTTTCGCACCAACCCGTCTCTGCTCGGATAGGTTTCCAGAACTCTACCGAGAGCCCAGTGGCCTCTCGGCACCTCCTCGTCTGCAATCAGGACCACATCCCCGGGCTCCACATTCCTGGATCGGTGGACCCATCGCTGTCGCCGCTGGAGAGTCGGCAGATAGTCTCTCCTCCACCTCAGCCAAAACTGCTCTGCCAGGTACTGCACCTGTTTCCATCTTTTGACGGACAACAAGTCGTCAGCCGTGAACTGGCCCACGACACCCTCTCCACATCCCCGCAGGAGCAGGAGATGATTGGGGGTGAGTGGTTCAACATCACCCTGGCTGGTCGAAACATACGTCAAAGGACGACTATTCAGCACAGACTCTATCTCACAGAAAAGAGTATGTAAACTCTCGTCGTCTAATCTCTGGACAGGCATTGACCTCCACACCTTCCGAACAGTCCTAATATGGCGCTCCCAGCAGCCACCGAAGTGCGACGCTGAAGGAGGATTAAACACCCATTCAATCCCCTCAGCGAGTCCTACCTGTTGCAACTTCCTTCGATCAAGTCGAGATATCTCTGCCTTCAAATCATTGTCCGCTCCCACCATGTTAGTGCCCATATCGCTTCTGACTCTTTTAATCGGACCTCTACGAGCGACAACACGACGAAGCGCGTTTATCAGCGAGTCAGTCCGCAGTGAGTGGAGAACTTCCAAGTGGATGGCCCTCGACACCAAACACGTACATATCAGCCCATAACGCTTCACCTCCAGGCGCCCCCTCTTCACTATAATTGGCCCGAACACGTCCAGACCGATGGAGGAAAAGGCGGGGGTCTCCGGAGTAACCCTGTCCTCCGGCAAGTCGGCCATCATCTGAACCTGCGGAGCAGAATTAGACTTTCTACACGTCACACAAGAACGCAGCAGACTTCGAACTGCAGATCCTCCTCCCAAGATCCAGAAACGCTCTCGCACCTTCCAGAGGGTATGCTCCCGTCCCTGGTGTCCCACTTTCTCGTGGGCCTGACGGATCACCAACTGAGAAACATGATGATCCCGTGGGAGCAGCACGGGATGCTTGAAGTCGTGACTCACCGGACACCTACTCAGGCGCCCTCCCACGGCTAACAAACCATTCCCCCGAGCCACCACGTTCAGACGACTCAGTGGGCTGCCTTTGGGAACGGTCACCATCCCTTTACCGTCATGATACAGCTCAGGGAAGCTCGATGTCTGCACGAACCGGAAAATAGCGACTTCAGCCGCGTCCAAATCAAACACAGTGAGACGCGAGTCGATTCCAACAGACCTCGGTCGGAGTCCTCGCCTCCTGGCCACCACGGCCTGCCTGAAAGCCCCAGATCTGACACAATCGAAGAACTTCCTAAACCACGCGACCGCCTTCTTCAGGCGAAAAAGGCTCGAGTAATGCCCGATAAGCACATCGGTGCTGTTTGAATCCGCCGCACCGATAACCACAGCTGCTACAGGAACGGGCTTCTTCAGCTCTGCTACTGGGAGATCAGACTGCTCAGCTGGCTCCTCTGGCCAGCCAGACTCATCCTGACGCAGGAACAGAGGCCCCTGTAGCCACACCTGAAGACCATGCGGCTCTGCACCCCGGGATCCGACGTCAGCAGGATTATCCCGTGAAGGAACGTAAGACCAGTCAGATACGTCAGTGGCTCCATGAATGTACGACAGGCGGTTCGCCACGTAGGTTTTGAACCTCGTCTTCCTGTTGCGGATGCATGACAGCACCACCATGCTGTCACTCCACATGCGGATCCTGTCAAACTTAGTGTCCAGCTCACGAACCAAGAACTGACGCAATTGACAGCCCAGGACACCACCCGCCAACTCCAACCTCGGGATAGTCACAAAGCGCAGCGGCGCCACACGACACTTTCCCATCAGGAACCCAATGTACACCTCCACCTCACTCGGCCCAGTCATGACCTCCTTGCGTACATAGGCCACAGCGGAGTACGCGGACTCACTGGCGTCCACAAATATGTGCAGCTCCGTAGAAATCACCTCACCTTTCGGACCACAAACTGCTCGGGGCAGTTGCATCCCGTCTAGTCCCTTAGCTTGTCGAATCCAGCTTTCCCACTCACCTGCCAGAGCCGGCGGGATGGCTTCATCCCAGCCCAGCGATGCCGCGCAGAGCTTCTGCACGAGCATCTTAGCTGAAAGAGTCACAGGAGCCCAGAAACCCAAAGGGTCGAATATGGCGCTCACGGCGGACAGTATTCCGCGCCTGGTAACCGGAGTCTCCTTATCCTGAAAATGGAAACGAAAAACGTCTTCTCCCATATCCCACTCTACACCTAAAACACGATTGGAACCGAGCGCACCCTCAGCCAGGTTCAGATCCTTGACACTCTTTCCCCTTTCATCTTCGGGAATGTGCTGCAGGAACTCAGCACTGTTACTAGCAAACTTCTTTAGATGGAACGCCCCGGTCTGGCAGAGTTCTGTGAGATCCCGCGCGAGGGAGACGGCATCCTCGACAGACTCTACAGCCACCAGCGTATCATCAACGTACGTCCTGCGCCGCAACGCGTCAGCAGCAGCAGGGAACTGACCTTTCCCCTCCTCAGCACAAAGCTGCACTGCCAAGCATGCCACGCTGCTGCTCGTCACCGCCCCAAAAACGTGTGACCTCATACGCCATACTTCGACGTCACCGGACAGATCGTCATCCTTAAACCACAGAAAACGGAACAAGTCACAGTCCCCAGCCGGCACATGGACCCTATGATACATAGCTTCTATGTCACAGGTAAACGCTATGCGACCTTCCCTGAACCGGGCGATCACAGCGTTCAGAGGCTGTCCCAGGTGGGGACCACCCTGAAGAATGTCGTTCAGACAAACTCCACCCGCACGCGCTGCACAATCGAACACTACCCTGACTTTGCTAGGAGTCACCACCGCGTGATGCGGCAGGTACCATACATCACCTGATGGAACGGTCAGCTCGCTCTGCGGCACCCTCACAGCGTAGCCATCCGTCACCAAAGATTGCATCACGGCCCTGTAAGACTGAAACAGACTCGGATCCCCCATCAACTTCCTCCTCAGTGACATCAGTCGCTTCTCAGCGACCGGGCGACTGTCCGGGACACTCGTGACGGTAGACCTAGGGAGACCTATCTCAAAGTGTCCCTCCTCGTCCTTACGGACG